TGGAACTCTTCTGCGAAGTCTGAGCACAACCTGCTTCTGTCGCGCTAGAGTCGAATCCAAGACTGTGAGAACAAGACTCTGAACCTCTTGTGACACTTGTGATCTCGTGATCTTGTACGCAAGGACGACACGCACACTCTTGATAACAGACAGTCAAGTCGCCGGAGCCACACTCTTATATATCTAGAGTTCTGACGGGATAAGGAATACCTAATCGAAGGGTGAATTTTAACCGTTGTTACGCAACGAAGAATCCGTTGTTTAGCTAATATAGAACACATTGTTGAAGTGTCTGGTTTCATCCGTTGTTTCGCAACGAATTATCAGTTGTAACATACGTATTGTCACGTGTTGGGTGTATAATGCGACAAACAATTTCACGCCGTATTTGATATAGCGAATTTTATTCCACATTCGCTCTTACAATCACACGATTTACAAGCTCAACATTACTGCCATTGGCAGTATTGCAAATACTGTATTGCAATTAACTGGTGACTGACTCGTAACTGGAGAACTCGAGAACTCACTGCTGGCTAACTCGGAACTAATAGCGTTCGCTGCTCCTTATTTAGCCCAGTTCCGGACAACACAGAAAACAGCAACGTAGTAGGCACCACTGCTGCCTGGCGCCGTGATGCTAGCAACGCTGCCGGGATTTTTTTACTGCTTTGTAGCAACGGCGGCATCCAGTGTTACGTCACCGAGGGGAGAGGAGGGGTGTTGACTGGCCTATTACCGCAGCAACTTCAACTCTCCGAAAGTGGTGCATCACCGCTGGCGGGGTGAGGGGTTGTCCTCCATTGCGCTACACGTCACAATATGTTCCTACGCAACGGTCTGTTTGTATTCCATTCGTCGCAGTGGCAGGGAGAGAAGGAGTGTGGATACATGTAGAAATAGTAGGTTATACTATTTCCACATGTAACCACGCTCCTTCACTCCTTCTCTTATATAGCTGTGTTTACTCGACTGGATTCAGTCTGTTGCACCTGCTCTTCTGGTTCGCTCGCGGATATCTTCTTGTCTTTTACCCTGAAGATGGAGGCGATACGTTCCTCCGAAACGTCGTTAACACAATTTCTACATGGCGTCAAATCTCGGAACACAGCCTTCTTCATAGTCATCGCCGTGAAAACCTCAAATCCTACAATATTAAAATGGATCTTAGAGAGATAGGATGGGATGGAATGGTTTGGATTGGTCTAGCTTTAGATAGGGAACAAAGGAAGGCTCTTGTGAACGTGGTACAGAACCTTCGGGTTCCATAAAATGCGGGGAAATTCTGGAGTAGCTGCAGAATTGGCGGTTCTTCCAGAAGGGCTCAGCTCCATGAGTAAGTAAGTTCTCGGAATCGACTTAGTGGTACTCGGGATATCCCTTTCCTAACAAGAACGAGCGGGAGAGAGGGGGAGGGGAGAGAAATCTTGTCACGTGGTTATGTCCGACGTTTAAAGTTTCTATCACAGTGCAGTAGCACCCCTCAACTTATATCACAGCTCCCTTTTCTGTAATAAGTGTTCTGTCCAACCGTCCTACATTTCGCTACAGAAAAGGCACTTGAAACATAAGGACCTCAAAGGGGTATTTGACCATTTCCCATCTCAATAACCAGAGAAGAAGTATGGTATTGATCTTCTTAGAACTCACTTCAGGTGAAAATATTGTTAGTATTAACGGCTTGTTAGGGAAATTTTGCACCTAAGCGGTGATAACATTTTCAAAACGAAGAAAAAGGGGCATTTGTTAATATGCAGAAAATTCAGTCGCTGAATTGAAAGAATATCAAAACGTATAATGTGCGAACACACAAATTTCCCAGTGTTAGCAAAAATGTTATTTACTTAAAAGAATTTATTTAAGCATAAAGTAATGCATATCCTTCTCCATAAAACATTATAAATATCACATGTGACCGATATTTCTTTCCTAAGCAACCATGGAAATTTACATGTAATTGACTAAGGGATCTGTCTAAGAAATATCTGCTGCCATCTACCATTCAGGAATCGAATCATCCATACACACTAAGCGTGTATCGATAGGAAACAAGCGGAAAAGCATCTCGCTACGTCCCAGAAGTGGCCGAAGAAAAAGGGACTTTTATTATTATTTTTTTTACTTATACTGGGGGGTGGGGTACGCGGTTGCGTAGTGGTTAAGGTACTATGCTACAAACCGAAAGGTCGCGGGTTCAATTCCCGATGAGATTATTGGATTTTTTCAGTTGACCTAATCCTTCCGGCCGCACTAGGCCCTGGGGTTTACTAAGCCTCTAACAGAAATGAGTACCAGGAATTAATTAAATGATTTTCCTGGGGAGTAAAGCGCGGCCGCCATCTTTGAGCCTATTGTCAAGGTAATGTGGGACTTAACGTCTCACAACCCTATGGGCCTTCATGGCCTGTTACAGGGATAGCTTTACTTAGATTTTACTTTACTTTGCTTGTGGGGTGGGACTAACTCCCTTGTTCTGTGGCAACTTCTAGCCTATTGTACCAGCCCCAAATGATAGGTGAGGGTGATTGTGGAGCAATTGGTGGAATGAAGATTGGCAGGGGAAAACGAAATACTCAGAGAAAACCTAAAGAAAAGAATACTTCACAATTTCTAAGACTGCAGACACGTCAGCTCAAAATTATGTTTGTTGGGTGAATTTGAAAAGGCGATTTGTGGTATTATCCACACGGAGATTCATGAATCTTGTTCACAAGAAATTTATTTTCTAAGCCGTAAATCGGGGGGGGGGGATGAAAATTAGAAAATATTTGGAAAGTTCATACTGACTTGCTTCTCTCGTAAGACCTAATTTGAGATAAAATTCAGGTAATAGTTTAAATTTACTATAATCTGTTGGATGGTGATAGATATGTGACGTGTCGGATCATTTATTATCATGTAATATGTTTCGTAAAATATATACTGAAGTTCAGGGACATTTTAATTCCACTTGCTTTCTTTTGCGCACAGTGTTACGTCAGAAATACCAGCCCCAGCATATATCGTGATATTTCAAAATCTGTAAGATGATTTCATAAAATGGCGTTACGTTGTCTCTACTCGACTATTTCGCTGCGTTTTCCGAACGAGAACTTTCATAACGTTTCGGCACGGACCACACAGAACACACAGTGTGTATTGTAGACGAGGCGTGTTCAACGCAATAGATGACCTATTGCCACGCACGTTGGCTACTACAGGAATGTGTTTACCGAGTCGTTGCCGATCAATGTGTATACACGTGACAGTATTAATGTACCATCGTCATGGACATTTAGATCTTGGTTTCTGCTTTATTTTCTTTTCGAAGATTTGAAGTCTATATGAACATTACCGAAAAATGATAGGCCGTATGTAAGCTTCGAAGATTATAGCCCCACCTACTCCTATTTTAATCTCTTTCGTCGGTTTGTTGTGACAGACACGCTTTTTAAAATGCACGGCTTACCCGATATGACACCAACCCGACTTAATTCACTCCAGTTGAAATAAAGACCACAAGAGAGCGCTGCTGTTTGTAGAGAACAAGAGAGTGAAGCTTATAATAATTCATATCTCTGATATATTGCTTATGATGGAAATAAACGTTTGGCGAAAAATTGACCTATGTCACAGAAAGGAAGAGGAAGAGAAGGAAATAAGAGAGACAATAATATGAAAGAAATGCGAGTAACGAAAAATAACGAAAATGAGGACGAACTTGAGAGGAAAAACGAAAATACGAAGGTCGCCAAACTCTTTATATTCAAAGGCACGGGTTTCGATGCCATGCACGTTCTTTTCCAGTCTTTTATCAGATGAACGAAATGTTGAAGAATGGGCCTCGCGTCAGCTCCCATTCTGTCGTCTCTCCTTGCAACTCTTCTCTATCTCAAATAAATGCATAAGTTGGAAAACTTACTTTGTGCAGCAGTTGAAGTGTTAAGGCATATCAAGAAATTTAGATCTGTACGGGTATCATGCTATTAAGTAATAGCCATAAGTCAGTTAGCGTACTGTCACATATTTATGGATGTGACTAATAATAACGGGTTTTGAATTCGATTATTGGATTTATTAACACTTTTTACACACTCCAAATCAAAATCAATTGTAACAACCGACAATAGTGACTGCTTAGAACTGGCTGCATTCTGGCGTCTCCATATTCTGATTTGAGCTTTGACTGACTTCAGTCTCAGAGTCAGAATTTCTTTACGACGGGCTGCTTACCGAAAATCAGCTCGTGTTGGCGACAACCCCTTGACACCAACGACCAGATTTTTTATTTTCCAACTGAACACTTGAGGTAATAGTCCTTCTGTAACATCCTCTCTGACGAGAAGGTGGATCTGTCGTTTACAATTGCTGCTGGCCATCGCCAGCGCTGTCATCCTGAAATCCGAGTCCTCCGGGACTCATAACCATAGTTTGCTGTCTCAGATTCGAGTCGTTCACAACCTGGAGGGCCAGGTCCCCATATTTACGAGTATATCCCCCAGGAACATGGTGGCCTGGTTATACCCCAAGGTACTGGGCCAGACTTCATTCTGAGCAGGAGCTACACACTTACATATCCAGCGTTCGGACGGGATAGTGTATAACATATCGAAGGGTTAATTTCATCCATTCTTGTGTAACAAACCATCTGTTATTTAGAAAATATTAGCCTTACTCAGTACAGAACATCTTGTAGATGTGTTTGGTTTCATCCATTGTTACGCAACGAAAATCCGTTGCTTAGGGAATACTAGACTTACTCAATACAAAACGCCTTTAGAAGTTGTTACGCAACGAAGAGTCCCTCATTACGGATATTTCTACGCAACGGTCTATTTATATTCGATTCGTCGTTGTGGGAACTCAACGATTTCCATGTATTCGTTGTCGCTGAAGTATGTGTTCCCATTGTAGCCTCTGTGAAACGATGGACTCCTATAGCATGTCACATTGCTCCCTCCTTAAGTCTGTTCGTCTCGGACAGCATAACGGTTCTTCCCTAACTTCTTTTCCTTGGCGTTCATCTTCCGAACGCTAACTCCGCCCAACTTCTTCAAGGACGCTCGTCCCGAGCAGTTCCATGGTAGGGCGCTCGTTGCTCCCGTCGTATCGCATTCATCCGTCATTGCTATCTGTCTTGTATCACGAAACTGTTTGTGGGGGAATTCATCTGAGGAACAGAAAGCACACATTCATCAATTTCAGAACTCACTGTGCACACAAATCGTCAGGAATAAATCTCATGATGCTTGACATGCCGAACCGGCAACCTGAGACCTCATACTAGAAACCATGGAGAGCAGAATCTATATACCGGGTGTGTCAACGAATCTGCCGGTGTTTTTTCCTGGATTGGTTGGAGCGGGGAGAATGCCACTACTGCCAACCAGCAGCCTACTTCAAAGCGTTTTAGTTCCAATGGAGGCGTGGACTGGGGCACAAGGTGCTTTTGCTGTGAAAGTGTCCTGATCGATCAGCTTGAATTTAAAAGATAGTTTGCTATTCATCGCAATCGTGGTGTTCCAACTGCTCATGCCATCAAGACATGGGTTCAAACTTTGAGGCTACTGGTTCTACACTAAAGAGCAAAGGTGGTAGCGTAGAAAGAGCACTTACACCCGAGAATGTAGCGGCAGTGTGAGAAGCCATTGAACGAAGTCCACGCCGGTCTGCGCGTCGCTACGCTACATCACTCTGGCATGTCCGAACCCTGCGATTGACCGATTTTGCAAAAACATGTTCATTTGTACCCCTATAATATTCAAATTACTCATGCACTACACGAACACAACTATAAAAACAGAGTTTCTTTCGGCCAGACTATTTTAAAATTAATTAATCAGAACCATAATATAGAGACCGTAGAGAAAACACAAACTTTAATTGAAACAAGTAAGGAGGCTGGTCTAGATATAAACACCGAGAAAACTAAGTTTATGTTGCTGTCTCGTCACCATGATAACGATAGGAAACTGACGTTTTGAAAATGTGGCACAGTTCAGATATTTGGGAACGACGATAACAAAACAAAACCTAATTGAGGAGAAAATTAAGAGTAGACTGAATTCGGGTAATGCTTGCTGCCATTCAGTCCAGAACCTTCTGTCTTCTAGTCTGCTGTCCAAAAACGTAAAAATTAAAATACAGAAAACTATAATTTTGCCTCTGCTACTGTATGGGTGTGAAACTTGGTCTCTGACATTAAGGGAGGCACATAGAAGTGGAATGATCGAGTCAAGGAGGATGAGGTAGGCAGGACATGTAGCATGAATGGGGGAGAATAGGTAAGCATATAGGATATTGGTGGGAAAGCCAGAAGGAAAGAAACCACTGGGAAGTCCAAGGCGTAATTTGGTGAACAATATTAAAATGGATCTTAGAGAGATAGGATGGGATCGTATGGGCTGGATTGTTCTGGCTCAGGATAGGGACCAGTGGAGATCTCTTGTGAACAAGGTAATGAACATTCTTGTTTTATAAACTGCTGGGAAATACTTGAGTAGCTGCAGATTTGGCTTCACCTCAAGGAGGACTCAGCTCCATAAGTAAGTAAGAAAGAAGGTAATGAAAACAAAGCTGTCGTTAACAATTTACTGACGAGCGATGAAACTCATTTCAATCTGTCGGTGTTTGTTAACAAGCAAAATTTCCACTACTGGTCAGTCAAAACACCAAAGGTATTCATGAGACTCCACCCCACCGTTCAAAAGTCACACAGTATGTTCCACGGTACCTTCATTTAGAATTGTTGGCCCGAACTTCTTGAAGATGAGTGGGAAAGCGCTGTAATTGTGAATGGACCACGTTACGTTCACATGTGGGACAGCTTCTTAGCTCCTGCACTTGCTCGTCTTCCAGTGAACGAAGAAAGGTTTCTCCAGCAAGATGGGGCTACATGCCACACCGCAGGGGCTTCCATGGCAGTTGTGAATAACCTGTTTCCTAACCATGTTTCCTCCAGATGTGTGGACATCATTTGGCCGGCCAGGTCACCCGATCTTTGCACATGTGATTTTCTTCTCTGGGGGTATCTGGAATCCCACGCTTTCAAAGCTCAAGCGGCCCCCACAGTTCAGGGGTTGAAACATTGAATTCGGAAAGAAGTTGAACGAATTACAGTAGAGATGCTGCATAGAGTAATGAGTGACTTTGGGAAAAGACTTACAGAGTGCCTACAGCAGAATTGTGGTCATCTGTCGGGTGTTATTTTTGGAAAGCTGTATAAAGTTTTCAGTGAGTTAATAGAGGAGATCCAAATGCTTTTACGTTTACACCACTTCCCTGTGTGTTGAAACCAAATAATGCAATAGTTTACTGTACAAAACGTATTTAAAATCACTCGATTCATTGACGCACTCTGTATTATACAGATGAATTTGTTTTTGTTTGCGTCGTCAGATCTCCTGTGCCGTGTGCAGCTAGTTCCGAATATGAAGGAGGGGGAGCTTCGTTTTCCACAGAAATAACATGTGGTGGGACTTCAGAGCTGGTAGTGTTCTGGCTTAGTTCCTGGGTGTTCCTGTTCGGCCGGATCGTCGGCTGTGGGATGCAGAGCCACACCTCATTCAAGAATAATATTGTCACAATTGTGATTAAGACAGATGCGATAAAATTCACTGTTATTTGTAACGCATTTAGGACACACAAATGTAGGCTGATGAACACGCAATAGAGAGCCAACAGCGTGTACGTGACGTGTGTAAGGAACCACATACAAAATAAACACAACTTCTTCAGATTCCCTTTCTTAAGTTTTATGATGATCAAAATTAAGAACAGAATTATCACTGCCGTCAGGAATGTAATTCCCAGTAAGATACTTGTCAACACTGGAAAGAAATAATTTTTTTCTTCTTCCACCGGCCGTAAATTTTTCTTCAGCTCAGAAATCGTGTCGTAATATCTCTCGCAATTGTATGCCTGCCATATGATTATCAATAAACACACCGAACTGATGATGTAGTAACCAGGAATGGAAATGTCTTTATGCTCTGTGAACAACGTATAGATTTTAAATAACATTGCCGACAGCTAACTTTAAGTCAAAGTCACCAGTGTAACGTGTCTGCTTTGTGACGGGACACGAATAAATTACGTGGGTCTTCGAATTGAACGCTTATTTGTCCTGACTCGTACAACTGTTCACTTAGAGCACTATTACACCGTTAGTGCACCCTTCTGCGAAGTCTGAGCGCAACCTGCTTCTGTCTCGCTAGAGTCGAATCCAAGACTGTGAGAACAAGACTGTCAAGTCAAGTTGACGGAGCTACACTCTTATATATCGAGCGTTCGGACGGGATAAGGAATGCCTTATCGAAGGGTGAATTTTAACCGTTATTACGCAACGAACAATCCGTTTTTTTTAGCAAATACAGAACACATTGTAGAAGTGTTTGGTTTCATCCGTTGTTTCGCAACGAATTATCCGTTGTAACATATGTTCCTATGCAACGGTCTGTTTGTATTCGAATTTTCGCAGTGGGAGGGACGGAAGGAGTGTGGCTACATGTAGAAATAGTAGGTTATACTATTTCCACATTTAGCCACGCTCCTTCTCTCCTTCTCTTATATAGCTGTGTTTACTCGACTGGATTCAGTCTGCTGCACCTGCTCTGCTGGTTCGCTCGCGGATTTCTTCTTGTCTTCTACCTTGAAGATGGAGGCGATACGTTCCTCCGAAACGTCGGTTAACACAATTTCTACATGGCATCAAATCTCGGAAGACAGCCTTCTTCATAGTCATCGCCGTGAAAACCTCAAATCCTACAATATTAAAATGGATCTTAGAGAGATAGGATGGGATGGAATGGTTTGGATTGGTCTAGCTTTAGATAGGGAACAAAGGAAGGCTCTTGTGAACGTGGTACAGAACCTTCGGGTTCCATAAAATGCGGGGAAATTCTGGAGTAGCTGCAGAATTGGCGGTTCTTCCAGAAGGGCTCAGCTCCATGAGTAAGTAAGTTCTCGGAATCGACTTAGTGGTACTCGGGATATCCCTTTCCTAACAAGAACGAGCGGGAGAGAGGGGGAGGGGAGAGAAATCTTGTCACGTGGTTATGTCCGACGTTTAAAGTTTCTATCACAGTGCAGTAGCACCCCTCAACTTATATCACAGCTCCCTTTTCTGTAATAAGTGTTCTGTCCAACCGTCCTACATTTCGCTACAGAAAAGGCACTTGAAACATAAGGACCTCAAAGGGGTATTCGACCATTTCCCATCTCAATAACCAGAGAAGGAGTATGGTATTGATCTTCTTAGAACTCACTTCAGGTGAAAATATTGTTAGTATTAACGGCTTGTTAGGGAACTTTTGCACCTAAGCTGTGATAACATTTCAAAAACGAAGAAAAAGGAACATTTTCTTAATATGCAGAAAATTCACTCGCTGAATTCAAATAATATCCAAACGTATAATACGCGAACATACAAAAATCCAAGTGTTAGCAAGAATGTTATTTACTTAAAGCATTTATTTAAGCAGAAAGTAATGCATATCCTTCTCCATAAAACATTATAAATATCACATGTGACCGATATTTCTTTCCTAAGCAACCATGGAAATTTACATGTAATTGACTAAGGGATCTGTCTAAGAAATATCTGCTGCCATCTACCATTCAGGAATCGAATCATCGATACACACTACGAATATATCGATAGGAAACAAGAAGAAAGGCATCTCGCTACGTCCCAGAAGTGGCCGCAGGACAATGGACTTTAATTATTATTTCTTTTTTATTGGTAGTGGGGTGGGACTAAGTCCCTTGTACTGCGGTGCCTTCTGGCCTATTGTACCAGCCCCAGATGATAGGTGAGGGTGATTGTGGAGCAATTGGTGGAATGAATATTGGAAGGGGAAGCCGATGTACTCGAAGAAAACCTGCTCCAGCGCGGCCTTCTCGCTACGTTATGTATAATGTAGCCCTAATTTTTGTTCCATAAAGAAAAGAATACTTCATAATTTGTAAGACTGCAGATATGGCAGCTCAAAATTATTTTTGTGTGTTTGAATTTGAAAAAGCGATTTGTGGTATTATCCACACGGAGATTCATGAATCTTGTTCACAAGAAATTTATTTTCTAAGACGTAAATCCGGGGAATAGAAAATTAGAAAATATTTTAAAAGTCCATACTGAATTGCTTCTGTCGTGAGACCTAATTTGAAATA